ATTGTCGGAACAATTCATCTGTCTGTCTATTCAGTTTTTTTTAAATCGCAAATTACATGTTGCTGATCCGCAGCGATTGTATGCTTGCTGTACGCGTACATCTCTCCCGGTGACGCTGATCGATAATCGGCCGGCAGCTATTGAAACCTTATCGTTCGCCGATACGTCCAACGTCAGCAGCATCCCCAGATCAACTCAAATTGAAAATGAAAGCCAACAAATTTTTCCCACTGAGCCGAATAATTTTTGTTGTTGTTTTTGTGTGTGTGTTCTTTTTTTTCTTTGTGACAGATCATCATCGGTATTGTTCGTTCGACCGGCTGTCTGTCTGTCCTGTCCGTACGTCCACCACTTGACGTCATTTTTGTTCGTTTAAAATGTGACTAATAAAAAAAATGAAATTGTTCCAACTAAATTGAATTAGTCTTAATAGAAACGTATAGAAATACATACGTATGGACAGACATACATATGTACGTACATACAGACAATGACAATTGTGACGCTCGTGAGGAGGGTACATAGACAGACATGCTGACGCGTAATGGAGATCGATTTTCATCATTTCTTTCAAAGAAAAAAAAATAAAATAAAAAAATAGAAGTAGTTGGAATCCTAAAAAAAATTATTAAAAAAATGTCCTCAAAATTCCGAAATTTTGGAGGCAACCCTATATGGGGTCTAAACTAAAAAGTCGACCAATTTTGATAATTTTTGGTAGGAAGGTTAAGTACCCCATGATAACTCAAAATACCAAATTTCAGTAAATTTGCTTAAGAAACCTGTCCAAGCTCCCCAAAATATCGAGATTTGAGAGTTACCCTTATATGGGAGCTACCCTTAAAAGTCGACCAATTTTCATAATTTTTGGTAGGCAGATTTTATAACTCCTGAGAACCCAAAATACCTTATTACAGGCAATTTGGTCAAAAAACCTGCTCAAGCTCCCCTAAAATACTAACATATTGGGGTATCCTTATATGAGGCCTAATCTAAAAAGTCGACCAATTTGGATAATTTTTGGTAGGAATATTTTACAACGCCTGAGAACCCAAAATACCAAATTACAGCCAATTCCAATGAAACAACTGATCAAGCTCCCCAAAATAACGAAATTTTAGAGGTAACCTTATATGGGAGCTACCCTAAAAAGTCGACCAATTTTAATAATTTTTGGTGGGAAGATTTTACAACCCCTGAGAACCCAAAATACCAAATTACAACCAATTCTGTTGAAAAATCTGCTCAAGCTCCTCAAAATAACGAAATTTGAAAGGTTCTGTTATGTAGGGTCTAATCTAAAAAGTCGACCAATTTTGATAATTTTTGGTAGGAAGATTTGGCAACCTCTGCGAACCCAAAATACCAAATTACAGCTAATTCCGATGAAAAAACTTCCCAAAATGCCTAATTTTTGGAATTCCGTTGTATAGGGTCTAACCCCAAAAGTCGACCAATTTTGATAATTTTTGGTAGTAAGATGTTATAACCCCTGAGAACCCAAAATACCAATTTACAGCCAATTCCGATGAAAAAAACTGCTCAAGCTCCCCAAAATAACGAAATTTGAGTGGTACCCTCATATGGTAGCTACCCTAAAAAGTCGATCAATCTTAATCATTTTTGGTAGGAATATTTTACAACCCCTGAGAACCCAAAATACCAATTTACAGCCAATTCCGTTGAAAGCCTTGCTCAAGCTCCTCAAAATTCGAAATTTTAGAGGACCTCTGATATGGAGTCTAAACTATAAATTTGACCAATATTGATAATTTTTGGTAGGAAGATTTGACAACCTCTGCGAACCCAAAATACCAATTTACAGCCAATTCCGATGAAAAACCATTTCAAGCTCCCCAAAATAACGAAATTTGGGAGTTACCCTAAAAAGTCGATCAATTTTAATCATTTTTGGTAGGAAGATTTGTGACCTCATAAGAACCCAAAATACCAAATTATAGCCAATTCGATTGAAAAAATCTGCCCAAGCTCCCTTAAATAACGAAATTTGAGGGGTTCTTTTATATGGGGGCCTCCCTAAAACGTCAACCAAAATTGATGATTTTTTGTGGGATGATTACCTACCCTATGAGAACCTTAAATACCAAATTACAGTCAATTCGCTTGACAAAACCTACTCAAGCTACCCAAATGTGGGAGGTTCTGTTATATGGGAGCTACCCTAAAAAGTCGAACAATTTCGATAATTTTTGGTAGGAAGATTTGTGACCCAATGAGGACCCAAAATACCAAATTACAGCCAATTCGATTGAAAAACCTGCCCAAGCTCCCTAAAATAACGAAATTTGAGGGGTTCTTTTATATGGGGGCCTCCCTAAAACGTCAACCAAAATTGATGATTTTTTGTGGGATGATTAACTACCCTATGAGAACCTTAAATACCAAATTACAGCCAATTCGGTTGAAAAGCTGTGCTCAAGCTCCCCAAAATACCGAAATTTGGGAGGTCCAGTTATATGGAGGCTACCTCAAAAAGTTGACCAATGCTCACAATTTTTGGTTGAAAGATCTAATGATCTAATGAGAATCCAAAATATCAAATTACAGCTAATTCCGATGAAAACCCTGCTCAAGCTCCTCAAAATACCGAAATTTGGGTGTCCTGTTATATAGGGGCCTCCCTAAAAATTGGCAAATTTGGATAATTTTTCGTAGGAAGGTTTAATACCTCATGATAACCCAATTTCGATGAAAACCCTGCTCAAGCTCCTCAAAATAATGATATTTTAGAGGTTCTGTTATATGGGAGCTACCCTAAAATTTCGACCAAAATTGATGATTTTTTGTAGGATGATTAACTACCTTATGAGAACTCATTATACCAAATTACAGCTAATTCCGATGAAAACCCAGCTCAAGCTCCCTAAAATACCGAAATCATTAAATGGGGACTAACCCTTAAAATGGACCAATATTGTTCATTTTTGGTAGAATGATTAACTACACTATGAGTACCCATAATAACAAATTACAGGCAATTCGAATGAAAAAAACTTCCCAAAATACCTCATTTTTGGGATTCCGTTATATGGGAGGTAACAGAAAAAGTCGACCAATATTGATAATTTTTGGTAGGAAGTTTAACTATCCATAGAGAACCCAAATTACCTAATATCAGTCAATTCGCATGAAAAACCTGCCCAAACTAAGCAAATTTTTGAAGTTTGGGAGGTTCTGTTATATGGGGTCTAAACTAAAGAGTCGTCCATTTTTTGGTAGTAAGATGTGTGCCCAATGAGAACCCCAAATACCAAATTACAACAGGTTTCGATAAAAAACCTGCTCAAAATATTGAAATTTGAGAGGTCGTGTTATATAGGGCTACCCTACCCTAATGGACCCATATAGATAATTTTTAGTAGGAAGATTTGCAACCCAATAAGAACTTAAAATACCGATTTGCAGCCAATTCGGCTGCAATATGTTACCAAAATACGAAATTTTTGACGTTCCGTAATATGGAGGCTAACCTAAAATACGAACCGATTTCGATACTTTTTGGTGGGAGAATTTGCGACCCAATGAAAATCCAAAATACGACATTACAGGCAATTAGGCTAAAAACCTGCTCGAACTCCCTACAATATCGAAACTGGCGATGTAAAAGCCTCGATTTTTTTAAATAGTTTTCTAAAGCCTACTTTTAGGTAAAAAAAAATCATTTTTCTAAAGCATACCCTTAAGAGCGGATTTTTAATAATAATTTGTTAAAGCCTACCCTTAGGCGTGGATTTCAAAACAAAAATTATTTTTCAGAGCTTATTTATAGGCGTGAATTTTTGAAAAATATTTTTCAGAGCTTCTTTGTATCCGCGGATTTTTATTTTTTTTTCGATTCGATTTTTCCGATACTCCTGAATTTTGTTATTAAATATTTTTTCAAGCCTAAAACCTACCCTTAGGATTTTTTTAAAGAATATTTTTAGTACCCTAATATGTCCTGGATTTTTAAAAAAAAATTGTTTTTTCTCCCAATATAGTCCTTTTTGTTTAATTGGTGGTTCGAACAATCCAGATTGATCCCTTACAACCCTGATCATGTCACAACACTATACGAACAATAACAAAGCCTAGACCAAAAAAACAAATGAACTAAACCACCAACAACAAATTTACAACAATAACAACAACACAAAAATCAACAATTATCGAGAAGAACAACACTTCAATAAAAAAAGAAACCATACAACCAACCATTCTTCAACCCATCCAACCCATCTGTACAATAATAATAAATAGCAAACCAAACAGAAAAAATCATGTTGTAATCTTATCAAAACAATAACAACAACAACACCAAAAAACAACGAGAACAACACACCACAGCAACAAATATGATAAACGACGTAAGCAAAATGTCAGCAGCGGCTGTAGTTGCTGTGGCTGCGATCAACGACACGACACAGCAAGCACAACGGGGAAATTGTCAAAGAGAGCAACAACAACGACGGTTGGAGCAAGAACAAGAGAGTCAACAACAAAGAGGTGAGATTGATGGTAGTAGTAGTAGTCGTTGTGTTGATGTGTTTTCCAACGACACAACCCACGCCAACAACGATGACAACAATAAATGTAAACAACATTCGTTTGTTAGCCACGAACTGTTATGCTCTTCTCGTCGTCGGCTGGAGAGTCTCTCCACTGAAGAGAGTATCGTTTGTATGATAAATAAATCAACAAGTGGTGGTGGTGGTCGGGCGTCAGAGCAGCCCAACAACAACAACATTGTGAGGGAGCACAATATCGTTGAGGGAGAAGAACAAACGACGACGTTAACGGTAAAACCCTCGTCGCTGTTGTTGTTGTTGCCTGCATCATCATCGTCGCCGTCGTCTGAGGTATTACAAAATCAAAGGCATAAAAACATAACAAACGTAGCGGCCAAAGCCAGTTATCATAGAACTGTGGAAAAGGACAGATCGCAGCTAGAAATATATTGCAAAGCTCACCAATGTGAACTACTGGTAGAAGAATCGTCAAAGCTTTCTCAGGCCAGAATTCATCAAGAACAAGACAAAGACAAACAACAGCAACAAGTGGATATAAATTTTACGCGAATACCAAGTTTGGCAGAACGTAAAGCCTTGCTGAAACAGGAATTTTTTAAAGATTTCTCACAATTGGATACAAAACCAACAGCCGCAGCAACATCAGGTCTCAGCAAACGTCTATTGAAAAAACAACACAATTTAAAATTGAAAATACCCCAAGCAAAGGAGGAGAATAAACCTGCGGAAAAATCTCTGGTGGAATTAAGAAAATTGGATTTACAAAATAATCAAAAATTAAAAAACCTTGCCCCGCTTCCCGAATTGAAAAACCCCAAAACTTGCAACTTCCCAAGTGTCAAAGCATTAGCCAAACGTTTCGATATGATTGTGCCGCAAACAAAAATCACCTCTGATATGGATATGGTCTCTTTGAAACCGGAAACCATGGATCAACGTAGCTCACCCCTCTCCGATGAAGGTTGTAATTTGGGCCACAGCCCCTATAGCTCGGATGATGACAATGATTCCATACGTACCACACAAACCGCCATTGAACGTCTGCCCACCAACTCTAAACGTAAAGACAAAGTGGCCCGTTCGGCCAGCAGTGATTCGGCATTGGGTTTGGAGGTCGATGAATCCCTTATGGATACTTCCGAGGTGGCGGTTCCCCCTCCACCAGGACAACAACAAAAACGTCGCATGACTCTAACCGTTACAGACTTACCTCTACGGCCAGCTCTACTACCCTTGGCGGAGCCGACCACCCTACCGGACTCCCCACCCGTTGATATGCTCTCCAATTTTAGTCTCTCCCAGACACAAGTACCTACCAAAGTTTTACTCGAGGAACGTGTTGTGGAAATACCCGAAGATCCCCGTTCCGGTGGCAGTTCGCGCCGTGAGTCGTCCCAGTCCTGCATTTCCGATTTCCCACCCGGTGAAATGCAAGGTGTGCGTTTTGTACGCACCCCATCTGTCGTGGTTTCCGACTATTCCGATGATATTATGTGTGGCATTACCCTGGAGGAAATCGAATATTTTCGTGCCCAACGTATGCGACGTCGCTCCTCATTGGATACCGCCGGCACCGAAAAAGATGCGCTCGACAATAACTCCGATGTAAGTGCCGCCTCATCGTGCAGCAATCTCTACTATTGTGGTTCCACGATATCCGCCTTGGACGGAGCCGAGTGTCTGGTGAATGGTATGCGTTTGCAGCTGGAGCGTAAATCCTCTGATTGTTCCAGCTGTTCGTTGGGCAGTGGCGATGAGGAGTTAACACCCACCACCATCACAGCGGGCACCACCAGTCTCACCATACCTGAACAACCCGAAGACTGTCAAGATTTATCGGATATGTTGGCCAATCAACATCTGTCCGGTAAACGACCGAAAAAGGTAGGTGCCACCACCACAGCGGGGGGATTTTTAGCCGTAGAGAATAATACAAATAATATACCCTGATTTTATATTTCCGAAATTAAAACAACACAAAAGGGCTAAGGGTTTTAATTTTTTCAAAACCCAAACTAGTCATGATTTAGTATATAGAAAAAAAAATACAACAACAACATAATCTCACAATCTATTTGTCATATAACATAAATTTTAGTTTGTAAGGCTTTTTTGTTTGTATTTATATATATTTATATATAAATAATTATATACATACATATACGTGAATATGTTTTTTAAGGCGTTTATATATATATTTTGTAAATATTTAATTAGTTTTAAAATTTATAAAAAAAATCACAACAACAACAAAAGTATTATAATAACTAAAAACAAATATTTTATAATTTTTAGATTTGTATATATAAAAAATAAAAAAACAAAAACAAAAATCAACAACAACAACAAAAATAAACAAACATTAAACAAACTCGTGTTTTATGAAATCAATTCATTTTTTTTTTGCAATTTTTATTAAAAGCAGAATGGTGGTGGGAAAGGGAGGGAGAGAGTAGTTTTTTTTATTTTTTTTTAATTCAATTCCAATTTTTAATTACTAAAAATTTTAATTTTTTTGGAAAACCTTTAATTTAAAAATACAAATAATAAAAAAAAATATTTTTTTAATATTGAGATTTTTTAAATTTTTTCATGAATATTAAAAATGTACAATCCAAAAAAACTTAAATTTTTAAAAACTTTAAATTTTTTTAATATTTCAAAAAATACTTTTGGTAAAATTCAATTTTTTTATCTTCATTTTCATTTCATTTTTTTTAAATGAAAATTATTAAAAAATTTTCAAAATCAATTGTCATTAATTACTAAAAAAATAAAAAAAATATTTCAAAATTTAATCTTTATAGCTTCTCAATCTTCTTCAAATCCATGTTTAGGAATTTTCATGGCTGTAGTTTCGATTATAGAAAAAAATCGTTCAAAATCCCTTTAAATTTTGAAGAACTTCGATATTTAGTATTTTTGATTGTATATGGCGTATAAGTGCTGCCGCTACTCATACGTCCGGGTGTACTCGTTTAATAATTTGCTTTAATATTATTCATACGTTCTGGAGATTCTGAAGTGATGAAAGATTTAAGAATAATATTAAAAAAAGGCCAGGGTCTTAATAGTTCTTTATAGAGGTCTAAACATGCATTAGCAAATTCTTTTAAATAACTGAAAGGTCTTTAGAATAATATGTCATAGGTTGTAGTTCCCATAGGCTTTTAGAAAAAAAATTTTAAAAATTCATTCTGATTATGAAAACTATTTTTTTAATAAATTTTTTTAATAATACCAATTTCCATTTTCCAAAAAAATCAATTCAAAATATTTTGAAATCCCCTTCCTTTGTCATGAAAATCGATATTTAGTATTTTTATTACATACGGCGTATAAGTGCTGTCATGATGCATACGCCCTAATGGACTCAATCACTACTTAAATTAATATATATTATACGCACTGGATTACTGCTGGGCTCCTAGTCATATCAAAAGTTTCACAGAGGAAATAGAATTAAAAAATTTCAAAAAAAAAACACTCTTCCAAAAAAATATTTTTTATTTGAATAATTCCAGGTTCCTCCCAAAAATCCATTAAAGATATTTTGAAATTCCCGTCTACTGCTGGACTCCTAGTGGTCTCAAAGGTCTCTGAAAGGAAATATAATAAAAAAAATAAAATTTCGATATAATTCTCAGAGTCTTTTAAGGAAGTATAAAAATCCTAAATTTAAACTTTCTCCTTCAGAAAAAATATATATTTTTTTACAAATATCAAGTTTTACCCTCTCAAAAATCTATTAACATTTTCTTGAAATCCCCTTTCCTTTTGAAGAAATTCGATATTTAGTATTTTGGTTGCATATGGCGTATAAGTATTGTCATGATGTATATGCCCAAGTGGGCACCTTCAATAATTACATTAATATAAATCAAACGCATTGGAGTACTGCTACACTCTCAGTGACCTCAAAAGTTTCTTAGGAAATATTTACCAAAGCCTCAAAGTCTTCTAAAAAAAATTAAAAAAATATTCTCCTAGGTTACAAAGAACTCTAGAAAGTATTTATAAACAATTCATAATTTTAGGTCTTAATTTTTTTAAATTCCACTATTTTATTAAAGAAAGAATTGAAGAAATACGCATCTAAGCCTTAAATTATTCAAAAACATATTTTTATGGAATCTTCTCTGGTAGCTCCTCAGGATATATTTTTAAAAAATCCACTTTACATGATTTCAACGTCCTCATGAAAATATTTTTAAAAACTTTAAGCTTCTAGTTCTAAAACTTCTTCAGTGAATAATAAATGGAAGAAAAACAATTTGACACGTTCGAAATATTTTTTTCCTCCCAAAAATCCCTTAAAAATAGTTTAAAATCCCTTTTCCTTTTCAAGAAATTCCATATTTAGTATTTTGGTTACATACGACGTATAAGTATTGTCATGACGCATACGCCCAAGTTGACTTCTTCAAAAATGTTTTAATACGCACTGGAGTACTGCCGGATTCCCAGTGGTCTGAAAAATCACATATATATGTCTAAGAATTTCATAAGGAAGTATTAGAAAAATCTATTTTTTTTGGAAAATGCCAAGTTCTACCCTCCCAAGAATTCATTAAAATTTTCTTGAAATCCAATTTCCTTTTCAAGAAATCCTATATTTAGTATTTTGGCTATATACGACGTATAGGTATTGTCATGACTCATGCGCTCAAATGGACACATTAAATAATTACATTAATATAAATCATACGCACTTGAGTACTGGTGGACTCCCAGTGGTCTCAATAGTCGCTTAGGAAATAAAATTAGAAAAAAAAACAGAAATCTTAAATCATCCATTTAGGTCTAAGAATTCCTTGTGGAAGTATTAAAACCTCTTTTCTTCTGAAAAAAAAAAATATTTTTATTTTGAAAAATACCCAGTTCTACCCTCCCAAAAATTCGAAAAAAATATTTTGAAATGTCCTTTCCCTAAAACAAATTAGAATAAATAAATTAGGATAAATTCGATTTATAGTATTTTGATTTCATAGGGCGTATAAGTATTGTCACGACTCATACGCCCAAGTGGACACATTCAATAATTACATTAATATAAATCATACGCACTGAGGGACTGCTAGTATCCAGCACTAGTAGTCCACTTCTTTCTTAGGAAAATAAAACATCGCGTCCGAAAGAAATGTGTTTTTTTTTTTAATACCAAGTTCTAACCTTCCAATAATCCATTAAATATAAATAGAATTAGAAAATGCCCTTAGGGTCACTTAAGGAAGTATAAAAAATCCTAAATTTAAACTTTTCCCTTCCGGAAGAAAATATATATATATTTTTTTAAATATCAAGTTTTTCCCTCACGAAAATCCTTTATTTTTTTTTTTTGAAATTCCCTTTCTATTTTGTAGAAAATCGATATTTAATGTTATGGTTACCTAGACGTATAAGTATTGTCACGACTCATACGCCCAAGTGGACACATTTAATATTTACATTAATATAAATCATACGCATTGGAGTACCCAGTACTAAACTCTTAGTGGCCTCAGAAGTCCTTTAGGAAATAAAATTAGGCCACAAAATCCTCTAGAAAATATTAAAGGAAATCTCGAGACCACAAAGACCTCTAGGAAATATTGAAAATGAAATTCATGCTTTTATGTCTCAAAATTTTGTTAGGAATCTTTTTAGAAAATTCCACACTCCTGGGTTTGAATTTGTTTATAAAAATTTTCTTCCTTTAGGTCTCACAAATTTTTAGGAAATATTTTAGAAAATTCCACACTCCTAGGTTTGAAATTTTTCTTTAAAATATTTTTTTCAGGTTTCAATATATTATACGCACTCGATTACTGCTGGACTCCTAGTCATATCAAAAGTTTCACAGAGGAAATAGAATTAAAAAATTTCCAAAAAAAAAAAAAAACACTCTTCCGAAAAAATATTTTTTATTTGAATAATTCCAGGTTCCTCCCATTAAAGATATTTTGAAATTCCCGTGTACTGCTGGACTCCTATAATAAAAAAAAATAAAATCACGATATAATTCTCAGAGTACTTTAAGGAAGCATAAACAATCCTAAATTTAAAATTTCCCCTTCCAAAAAAATATACATTTTTTAAAAATATCAAGTTTTACATTCCCAAAAAGCCATTTAATTTTTTTTTGAAATCCCCTTTCCTTTTCTAGAAAATCGATATTTAATATTTTGCTTACATACGACGTATAATTATTGACACGACTCATACGCCCAGATGGACATATGTAATAATTTCATTAATATAAATCATACGCACTGGAGTACTGCTGAACTTCTAGTGATCTCAGAAGTCTTTTAGAAAATATTTTAGAAAAATCAAAGCCTCAAAGTCCTCTACACAAAAATTAAAAAAAAAAATTAGGTTACAAAGAACTCTAGCAAGCTTATACAAACAATTCATAATTTTAGGTCTTATTTTTTTTAAATTCCAATCTTTCAGTAAGGAACGAATTGAAAAAATACGCATCTAAACCTAAAATTATTCTAAAAAATATTGTTATGGAATCTTCTCTAGTAGCTCCTCAGAATATATTTAAAAAAATCCACACTACTAGGTTTCAATGGCCGCATGAAAATATTTTTCAAATCTTCAAGCTTCTAGTTCTAAAACTTCTTCAGTGAATAATAAAAGGAAGAAAAACAATTTGACACGTTCGAAATATTCTTTTCCTCCCAAAAATCCCTTAAAAATAGTTTAAAATCCCTTTTCCTTTTCAAGAAATTCCATATTTAGCATTATGGTTACATACGACGTATAAGTATTGTCATGACGCATACGCCCAAGTTGACTTCTTCAAAAATGTTTTAATATACATCATACGCACTGGAGTACTGGCGGATTCCCAGTGGTCTGAAAAATCACATATATATGTCTAAGAATTTCATAAGGAAGTATTAGAAAAATCTATTTTTTTTTTGGAAAATACCAAGTTCTACCCTCCCAAGAATCCATTA